CCTTTGTTAGTCACCACAAATCTATTGGTGTTTAACCTTGTCCGGATGAGAATAGATTCATTCTTACGTGAGCTCTCCTCATTACGCATCGAAGCCAACGTTGTTGTGCGCGGTTCAACCGTCGTTCTTCTCTGTTTAACTTTCTAATTTGCTGGAAGTGTTGATCTTTTTTCAGATAATCGACAGATCTATGGCGAGGACCGTTCGGGAGTCGTTTTCCATGGACTCTCGCTCGAGAGACGTTTCCAGCATGACATTTCTCAGAGCGTACTTAGTTGCTCTTCCACGCCAGTCGATTCGTTCGCAACGAACTGACGATAATGACGTCGATTATCAGGACGCTGGCTCCGAGGTCACCGTGAACAGTCCGCTTGCGAGTAGCTCCGTTCAGTCGAAGACTGGCCTGATCTCATTGTCTGCCTCATATCGCAGGCTTTTTCCCCTTTCACCGTCATCCTTCACGGCTACCGTCGCCTCACCTTAGGACCCCAGTTGATCACACGGTCGTCTGGCTGATCAAGCTCAAGAAAATTAATGAACCGAACTCATTCGCGCCTCTTCAAGTCGTCCCATTTGCATCGCCGTCACTCAGCTCTCATTCGAACCACACAGATTTTTCTTTTGCATGGTAACATGATTTGCTTCTGCTTTCTTTTGCACATGCTTTGTTACGAAGTTGTACATTCGGTATTTTGCTCATGTCTTACAGGTCATAAGAAAGCTCAGCATAAACAGAGTTGATTTCAACGCGATCTACAGAATTTCTCTATCAGGTGATGGACTGCAGGCGTTTCTTTTTCTTTTCATATCTTCGTGGTAAAGTTTGCGGCGATCTGTTGATATTCATCTAAAATAGCTTATTCGCTTTGAAGCGAGCTTTCTGCTTTCTTCGTAATTTGGGTCCCTTGACGCTGTTGGAGGACTGGGTAGTTATTGCCTCTTTAATATGCCAGTTCAATCAGTTTCTGTCCCTGATTTTTTCTACGGACCGACAGTTTTGCCGACTCCCTAACCTGGGACTAGGGCTTTGCTGCTTCCTTGTTAAAGATCATGCTCTTATTCGGCATGGCAATTGGAAGTCTTGTCCTTTGAATGACGTTGTTTACCGTTTGTCTGTGGAATTAAGTGACAAAATCTTGTTTCACTGGTAAGAACAGTTCTCCGGATTCAAATGGTTTAAGTTTGTCCTTGCTTCTAGTGGACTGTGGGACCCGTTAAGTGAACCTCCGCATCGAATGGCATAACTAGTTTTTTTCCCAACATATTGAGACTTGCACAATGCGCTACAATACCATAAACATATGGTCTGTTGAAGGGTCTATAGGCCGCTAGAAGCAAGTGAACGCTACCAGAATGGCGCATAAATTCGAAGAAACAAAAATATGTTGTTATTCTTGACAAAGATCTTGAAAACTAGCACTTTGCCAGTATCCAGAATACAGTTGGTACTATTTGTGCATTTGTGATTACCTCATTTAAGGTTCATTATTATCATCAGTTTATGATGTGGTTGATGAGTTTAATGGAAGCAGCACTGTTATTAAATGAAATTACTTGTATTTTTAATTTCTCTTGTAACAATGCTTCACTAGGGATGAGAGAGGTTAGTCTATTACTCATGAAGTCCTAAAAACTAAAATTTAAATGCAAATCTGGATTTTTCGGTTTACGATAAGTATAATTCTTGCAACAGTAGCAAAATGTAATTTCAATTATTACTGTTTGTACTTGAATTGGAGCAATGGATTTATTTTCCCATATTTAGAGCGCTACCATTTATGGTTGCTGTTTCAAAATAGTTATATTTTTTCTGATGTTGTCTGTATATTTTCCTATAGATACTGGCAAATTTGCTGGTGCTCAAATGATCCTTCCGCCCACCTCACAGAATCAGTTTTGAATTGAATGTCTTTCGGATGCTCAAACGCCATGGAATCGTGCCCTGTTGAAATGGTCCTCCAAGGAGAGTCGAAACATGTCAGGCAGTACGTTTATGCCTTCGAATAAATCCAGTGTCAGAAATCAAAATTTTGTGATTTCCGGCAGAATTCGAAAGCTGCCATGACTGGCAGCTATTCCAAAACATTAGGGGCATAGCTATTCATGTCGTCTTTATGAATTTATTTTTCATTTTCAGTAGTTAATATCAATATTTTGTATATTATTATTTTGAGAAAAAACTGTAAAGAATGTTAACGACGTTTGTTTCCTTTCATTTTGGACATTGATATATCTCGATATAAAATATCATCTTCGTGGAAATACATTGCAGCAGGTTAAAATTCGTTTCCCTGGCCAGAGTTTAAAAAATCTCTATTAAAATGTATTTAAGGATAATCGTAAACGTATTAGCCATTGGATCAACTTTAGTTTGCTTCGAAATAGAAGATCTGCTATTGAAGAATACATTGAGTT